ATATTCATACTACTGTTCATATTCATACTACTGTTTATATTTGCACTACTGTTTACATTCACACTACTGTTTATATTCATACTACTGGTCATATTCATACTACTGGTCATATTTAATATTCATACTACTGTTCATATTTAATATTCACACTACTGTTTATGTTCACACTGCTGCTTATATTACACTACCACTGATATATTATTATTATTATTATTATTATTATTTTTACTAGCCTTATTGCATATGTCACTTTACCTACACCAATGTCAAGGACTTCATACATACACTGTGTACATTCACTTCATATGCTGCTTTGCCACTCACTACAAATATCAATGCCAGGACCTTCATTTCATTTTATTTTTATAGATATACTTTTAAAATATTTTTTATACCGCTATAGTACAATTTAAGACAGTATCATGCTTTTATTATTTCATTTTATGCTTATGTTTATTAAATGTTTTAATGTTAAATGTTATTGTTGCACCGGGGTCTGAGAGTAATGTAATTTCAATCCTGTGTATGTCCTGTACATATTGCAGTTTTTGACAATAAAGTGATTTTGACTTTGACTGTGATGTAGGAGGAAATAAACAGGGTTTTTTTTAAAGAATAAGTGATTACATTGATGAGTGGATCAACCAAATACAAATGTAGCGTTTTGTGCAATGTTTATTGTGTTTTCTGCTTTGAAATGCTTCATGTCTCTCGTTAAGACGAGCACGACAAGACATTTACCGATACCAAAGTAATGGGTATGAACATGTTAAAAAGTAATCAGTTAAATAGATTTATTCAGTATGTTAGATCATTAAGTGTTCTGTGTGTTTTCAGGTGATGATCCTGAGGAACCATGGGCTGCTGGCTTTAGGAGAAACAGTAGAAGAAGCTTTTCACTATGTGTACCACTCACAGCAAGCCTGTGAAATCCAGGTATTTTTCATCATTAAAGTGCTGTCACTTGTAGACTTAAGTATGACCTCTGCTTTAAGTTAGTAGAGTTTGACGTAAATAAATCAACTTTATAACATATTTTAGGGATGTGCGATATTGGGTTTTTGGCTGATATCCAATATGTTAAAACTTACTTGGCCAATAACCAATACCAATACTGATATTTTTTCCCTAGATCTACTTACAGAGACTACATAGCTTTCTCTGTTGTGGAGTGAAAATACATTATTCTGCATGGTCTTTGTCAATTTGGCCTGTTACCAAATGCAGATGCCAAAAAAAGGGGCTGAAAATGATGCAACACTTCAACTTGGAGTATGTGTAATCCGAGTTATTCATGACATTTACTCTCTCTAACACAATGACAACACTCGAACAGTCATACTAAAACAGCACCATATATATATATGAACAGCACCTTTTATGTCATTGAGTTCAGTTCAGTGAGGTCTACAGGTGTGCAGTGGAAAGCATCCTGTGCTCCATCATCAACATGTGGCATGGAGGCTGCACAGCTGCAGAAAGAAAAGCTTTGCAGAGAGTGGTGAAGGCTGCACAGAAGAATGGTGGAGTCAGCCTCCCCACCATCACAGACATCTACAGCTCCAGATTCAGGAAGAGGGCCACCTGCATCAAGAAGGACTCCACTCACCCAGCACACACTTTTTGCCCTGCTCCCCTCAGGAAGGAGGTTAAGGAGCATTAAGTGTAGAACCACTAGACTGAGGAACAGCTTCTACCCTGAAGCTGTTAGACTCATGAATCCCTAACCAGAATAATCACTGCGAAAAAAATCACATCATGTTGCTGCTGATCTGTTTCATGTTGCTGCTGATCTGTTTCATGTTGCTGTGTTCATTTGTATTCATCTGCTCACACACACTCATGTTTGTGCTGCTGTTCGGTGTATTGTTTTTATGCTACTAGTGCTTAGTGTATTTCTTAGTTAACATTTTTCTTAGTTCATATCTTAGATCTTATTACTGTTTTTCTTTTACATTTTATTGTTGGATGTAACTGGGACCCTGTGTATATAGTTTCGCTCCACCACATGTGCCACATGCGAATGACAAATAAAGAAACTCTGACTCTGTTATTTTGATGGAATGTCCAATATTTAACTTTATCGCTAATATCAGCCGATACCATGCCGATAATATCGTGCATCCCTAACTTTTTTATATAAGCAAGCTAAACTCACCAGATTTCAGCGCACTGAAAGCACAGCTGATGTCCTACTGGCAGGAGATTTTAGCAAATCTAAGTCAAATATGTGCATGTGTGGCTTTTTGGGGCTGTATTTGGTTTTCCTCCATTTGAAGTTGAAAGTGGATTTCACAAAAGGAAACAAAACATTTCATATAAAACTGCTTGCTTAATCTTTTTGAAGGTAATGTTTACCATATAGGCATGTGTTAACATTTTTTTTGCATTTCATGCGTGCACAAGAGAATCAGTCTGTAACTTTTTACAGAACAATAATGTGACAGTATTAAAACATGAATTTCACTCATCAGACATGCTTGTTTAGGTGAATTCTCTGAGGTGTTCAGGCGGCGCGGACAATCTTGTGCTCCTGGACAAGGAGAAGTTTAAACCTCTGACCCAGGGAGTGGCTGCTGCCGGGGTGGTGATAGACAACCAGGTCAAGTGGAAGGTGGGCGAGGCTGAGTTCGAGTCTTTCATGAGGATGCTGGACAACCTGGTGAGTGAACTCTGACCTGCAACTTTTACCCAGCAGCCGTCAAGTTTCCTGGCCCAGGCGGCTCTGTCTGGAAGTGCCTGATTCGAGGAGACAATGAAAAGGAATTTCTAATCCAACCTGAAAAAATCTGATTGTTTCCAGATTGCAGTCTGTGTCTAACTTTCTCTCCTTACATTATATGTTTATAATTGGTGCATTCAGTCAAATGGGCATCTTCTTGCAGCTAACAGGCTGTCTGCTACAATAGCTGCAGCAACCCTGCTATTCTAACCGCACTGATAATGACGAGCCGTGTTCTGTGGACAGAGATGTCACACTGTCTCTTTGAGTGGGCTTCTTGCTAACAGCTGCGGCTGGAGCAGACTGCAGCTGTGTTAACGCTGTGCAATCATTACTCATCCATCCTCTCCATCGTAGCTTTCAGATGGTGAGGCTTGTTGCTCTGGGCGGTCACGCAGACCACACAGTTATTGGAAGGACTCAAATCCACTCAATTTGGACACAGCGTTTCCTCCAACACTATTTTTAGGAATTACCACATGCAAATGCAACAAATGCAAGATCGGTTTCATTGACTGAATGTGGTATTTCTCTAAAACAAGCAAATAAGCTGATCAGGAGGGGAATTTCAGTCGTAATATTCGAATAGGCACCTGTCACACTGTGACCGCAGTTAGCATTAGTGCATTTTTAGTAGGCCTGTTGCAATAAATCAGTTAATCGCATGATGAATGAAAATTATCGGCCTCATTTTCATTTATCGGCTTTATCGTTTCTTCGTGTCGCTCTACTGAAGACACTGGATGACAAAAGGCTCAACTCGGTCGCGTTTCACTGACCCCTCCCTTTCTCTTCAAAATCCATTTTAACTGTCCAAAATCACATTTTTGGCTCGTTAAAAGCAGCTAAGCTGAGAAGCTAAGCTACAAGCTAAGCTAACAAGCCTACCTCAGGAAAAAACTTCTGTCTTTTCAAAGCTCCAAAATTCACGGTTGAAATCTGTGCCTTCATGTAAAAAGTTGTTTTTCGCTGTAAAAACATGCTGAGAACTTGTTTACTGATTTTTTTATTAAAAGCTTTGTGTGACAAATGCTACGCTAAAGAGCTCAAACCACACTGAGCGTCTGCCATTTTGGGAATTGAAAAACAGGAATGATAGACAGCCCATGTCATGTCAAGGGGCCTCCCTTCCATTTTTCTTAAAGAGACACGCTGCTCGCTCCCTCACTATCCATCCATCGGTTCAAACAGTCTTATACTGCCATCCAGTGGTCAAAAAAATGTACTACACACAAATTAACCAACATTTCTTCTTAAATTTGACAATAATTACAAATTATTGTCAAATTTCAAACAATATTATCGTTTATCGCAATAATTTCTGAGACAATTAATCGCCCAGCAAAATTTGTTATTGTGACAGGCCTAATTTTTGTACATATTTAATTTGTGTATAAAAGAAAAGGATTCTGTATTTTATATTCCATGCATTTTCACTTCTTTAGTAATATTTAACCCATTTGAAAACTCAACTATAGGTTTCAGTGAATGCACATGTGGTGCTGTTACAGTCAGGGCACAGTGCACGCCTTTTAGGTTTGTTTTGTTCGTTTTGCTTTGCAAACTTGTCTGTTTCTTTTTGCAAAAGTGCCAGGTTTTTTGTCTTTTTTGGTATTTTTTAATTGTTGTTTTTTTGTACTGGCAGTTTCATTGCACATTGAGCGCATATTACAAGAGTTTCTGTTCTCTATTTTGTTTTTGGTGCAATATTAACAAGCTAAAATGGCCCGTAAACACACTAACTCTGGTCATATTGTAATATTTAAACATTGTAAATTGATCTTTGGTCGACAAGTTTGCACGTTGGGTATATTTTGTTTGAGTCTACGTAAATACCAAAGGTCAATGTAAAATATTACAGTTTTACTTATATGTATTTATTTTTCCGCCATTTCTGTCCCTTCTGTGACCTGCCAGGGCTACAGAACAGGTTACTCGTATCGGAACCCGATTGTCCGTGAAAAACCTCGCTCCAAGAACGACGTGGAGATCCCAGCCACTGTATCCGCCGTGCCGACTGAGGACGGCGAGCTGGATCTGCGCAGCCCCTTAAAGTTTATGGTGCAGAAACAGCAGAGGGAAAGGACCCGGTGGCTCAACTCACCCAACAGCTACTTGAAGGTCAACGTCCCTGAACAGTCGCCCAGCGGGGACGTCAGCCCCAGGTCCAAAATCACAGTGAGTTGAATTTAATGTCCAACTGTAGCAAAGACATTTAATCTAAATGCATGTTTTAAACTATTGAGGCGACCTCGCCTCTGGAAGCTGCCTTTTTTTTTTTTGTGTGTACTTGTGCGCCCTCTGGTGGCTGGTTTCAATGAAACCTTGTTTTTCTTCTCAGTGGATGAAGTCTTCACAGCCAGGCAACAGCGTTGGCACCCCAATAAAAATCGAGGACCCTAACCAGTTTGTCCCACTTAACACTAATCCATCTGAGGTTTTGAGTAAAAGGAACCGGGTCAGTTTTCTCATTTCACACTGCTGCCTTCTCATGTATTTCTTCTCTTCCCATTCAGCTGGGATTTTTTTAATGAACAAACACTATCACAGCTCAAGCAGTTTATAGAATAACTCACAGAATAATCATAATGTTCAGAAAAATCAATATTTGTCATCCATTAATCTCATTTTCACTGAGCATGTCATCTACTGAGTCACATACAGTATTTTCAATACATTTAGGCTCAAATCAACCAAATATTAAGTTTACTGTGAAATATAGCAAAGAAAAACTGTTGCAGTGCATAATTTGGGGTGAGTGGAGATATGTTGTTTTAGTTTTTGTTTATTTTGACTAAATATTTTATCTATGTATGAATATAGGGATACCTAGAAATTCCATAGCATAGTTTTACTTTACTTGTTTCCATTAAACTCGTTTATTTTGAATATGGAAAACGTCTGCAGCAAACAGCGCAGGTTGTACCTACAGTAGTAACATTTGGTATCACTTTCATCACAAGTCTAAAGTACACAGCTAATATACAACTTCCTCAAAAAAAAGATAGGTGTGGATGAGTGACTAGACCAAAAAATAAAACAGCCAGATATGTTTACTTCCCATTTTTCATATAATTTATTACTGGTAACTAAACCATAAAATATTTAGAAGACTTTTATTACTTCAAAGTAGTAAATAATCCGAGTAAATAATCTTTAGTTTTAAGTTGGCATACTATCTGCTTTTTTTTTTTTTATCCTACAGATTGTCTCTTAACGATGCAACATTTAAAAAGCACGGGATGCCATCATAAATAACAAAAGTCAATGCAAAACCAGTACACCATAGACTTTATTTGATCTGTTACAACTAGAAAGATGTAAACTCTGATTCTATATTTCTTTTGAAGTATTAAAAAAAAACTAGTTTATTGGATGGAGAACTGGCCAAAGGGTTTCCCTATTTTATATATTTTTTTAAAACAATCAAATGTGCTTACAAGTCAATCTTTGCCTACTCTAAATTGGAAAAACTCAACTATTGTTGAAACTTCCTGAACTACGTTTAATATATTTTAAAATACTTCTGCTTAGATTAAGGAGCAGCACAGAGGGGATCTGATGACTGCAGGACCCAAGTCACAGTTACTAGCAGGCATTGTTGTGGACACCATCCCAGGACCAGTAAGTAGATACACGTTTGTAAAAAAAAAATAATAATAATATGAAGTCAAGCGCAATCTCAACAAATTATGAAGAATGTGTCACTGTGCATTTCCTCTTTCTTTTGATTTCTTTCTTTCTTTCTTTTTTGCTCATAGACACTGATTGTTGTTGTAGTTTGTAAAGCAGTAAAATTGTTCAGCCCAAACTACTATAGCTATTATATTTATGAAAACAATATTGTAAGATAAACAAAGAAAGCTGAATCAAACAAGAGAAAGTACTTTTTCTGAAAATCATGCAGTGTGGATGCACAACGCTAAATATCTGCTGCATTTTGCTGAAGCGCTTTTAAAACTAAAAGATGCAGCACACTAGCTAAAAGCTAAAAGAAGATAATGCTAACTGTAACCCAAAAGTAGCAAAACACTAACTAAAGGTAGTTAAAGGTTAGCTAAAACCTACATTTTGTAAAAAGCTAACTAAAAGTAGCAAAGGGCTAGCAATAAACTAAAGTAGCATAAGCTTTGCTAAAAGTCTGATGCATCAAAAAGTTAGCTAAAAGAAGAAAAGGCTAGCTAACGTATTAAAAGGCTATCTAAAAGCTAAATATAGAAGAAAGCCAGCTAAAAGCTTAAAGTAGCAAACAACTGGTTTAAAGCTAATAACAGAACAATGGCTAAAATCTAAAAGTAGCAAAAGGCTAGCTAAAAGCTAAATACAGAAGAAAGACAACTAAAAGCTTAAAATAGCAAACAACTAACAGCTACTAACGGAACAATGGCTAAATTCTAAAAGTAGCAAAAGTCTAGCTAAAGGCTAAATACAGAAGAAAGCCAGCTAAAAGATTAAAGTAGCAAACCACTGGCTAAAAGCTAATAGTTAAGATTTAATTTAGCTGAAAGCTAAAATAGCAAATGGCTAACAAATAGTTAAAAGTAGCACAAGAAGATATCCTGATGCATGCTCAATAATCCAGGTAGAAAAATCCAAAAAAGTTTAATCTGGTCCTCTGGACATTCAAAAAAAAAAAAAGCAAAAAAATC